CAGTAAAACAAACAGCTTCTCACTAGCCAGACTTTTTGACACAGAGATGTTTACGGCCAGCATTCATCTCTGGCCTTGTGACATCGCGCAAAAGATGAGAGAACCACTTGATTGAGAAATATCGGCTCAAAATGTGGAATATAACATAGTTGCTTTTGCTCCCTACTTAAAAAAAACTTCTCTTACAGAGCCATCTGTAGCCTGCAAAATGAGAAAATTTATTTCTTATAAATGGTAAAATATATAAAACCGAACTCATATTTTGGACAAATGTGCTGAAAAGATCCATACAAAATACCTAAAGCATCAACATTTTGCATCACAGAAACAAGTGTAGTAAATTACACGTGCACGCATTGATGTGTGCCCAACCTGTAACATCTACAAATCTATGTTATTCCAAGAGAAGAAACACATTTCTTAGACATGAACTGTTGTGGTTTAAGCTGCCTAACAGTCACAGCATTGAGATGTTTATTACCAAATACTAGAAGGCCTGTACTTGAAAATGCATCTTCCTGCAATCATTCAGGATGTAAGATGTACTTTAACAGGCGATGCCATTTGGATATATCCAACTTTTATGCACAAGCTAAAATCAGACAGGTGGCAAAAGGATAATGTCTTCTCTTTATGCTTTTCACCTAGCCTTGGTGCCATTCTGAACTTAGTCCCGCCCACAAGGTTTGAAGTCAGGAAGTTCGGTCTGGCATTGCTCAATAGTAGCGAGAGTATGCTCGCACAATATCTGGCGGGCCAATCAAATTGTCAGGGCGGGCTTTATACGATGATGGACAGATGATCTACAGTAACGTAATCAACCACGTGACCAAAGCGCGCTTGGGTGACAACAACAATGGCTGCTGCTGGAGAGTTGAGGTGTGTAGATTCTGCTATTAGGTCTGTTCTAGAAGATATCGACAGCAAATTATTTTAAAAAAGGAACAGAGAAACGTGATCAAGGCATTTGTTGAAAAGAAAGATGTTTTTGGCGTCCTTCCTACGGGATTCGGCAAAAGTTTAATTTATCAGCTGGCTCCCTTGGTCGCTTAACATACGTCACGCACTCCGTTGCTCTTATTGGTTGTAGGTCTATCCAATTGAGTGCAGAGGCATTTTTTTCCTGGTTCGTTCGAAACACGCCCCATAATCACAGCTCTATGGAGCAGTATCTGCTTATATTCTGACTAGAATTGAGCCGGACTACGTCAGGCTACTTTTCACCCCTGTATGTAGTAAAATCTAAACAGAAATCTTAAAGCATGTATACTGAACCATGACATTAAACCCAAGGTAGGTGCAAAACAAGGATTCTTGTTTTCCACTTCTCTCTGCTCTGTAAGGGCCATACGTAGGGTTGAAACAATCCATCAGGTTAGTGGTGAAAAAACAGATGTAGTAATAGATTAAATTCAGTATGCAGACTTCAAATCCTGTGATTTGCTGAAAGCCCAACCACCTGAGAACAGTACTTAAGCTTAAACTGTACAAAACAGTGTCCCACAAGGGTCAGTATTAGGGGCCCTGCTGTTTTCCCTTTACATGCTGCCTTTGGGTCAAATCATTAATCGATATAACATCTCCTTTCGCTGCTACGCCGACGATATACAACTTTATATTAGAACTGGAGCATCATCACCATCTTCACTTAATGCTTTCACTACTTGCCTGGAGGAGATAAGGAAGTGGATGACTCAGAATTTCCTTCAGTTAAACTGCTCCAAAACTGAGGCCATGCTGATCGGAACACCTCACCAGGTTCAATCTTCAACTATGACGACTGTTTTCTTTTCTGGACAAGACATCCCCTTTTCCACCATAGTTACAAATCTTGGAGTTAGAATGGATTCTCAACTTACATTTGAAAATCACATTAAGCATCTGTTTAAAATCTGTTTCTTTCATCTTCGTAATATCTCCAAAATTCGTCCGTTTCTTTCTTTTTCTGATGCTGAGACTCTCGTTCATGCATTTGTCTCCTCCAGGTTAGACTACTGCAACTCTCTGTTTGTTGGAATCCATAAAAAACATCTTCAGAAGCTCCAATGCATTCAAAACAGCACAGCCAGTATTCTCTTGAGGGCCCGCAAATCTGCCCATATTACACCTATTCTGCATGACCTTCACTGGCTTCCCATCACCTGCAGAATTCAAAACAAAGTCACGCTCATCACCCATCAGTGTTTAAACGGATCCTCACCGGATTATCTGAAGGACCTTCTCACTCCACATTCATCCACCAGATCTCTACGATCACAAGACTGCAACTTCCTTTACCTTCCTTGCTCCAGATTAAGGTTCATGGGAGATCGGGCCTTCGCTGTCGCTGCCCCCCGTCTCTGGAACTCTCTCCCAGATCATTTGAGAGCTCCACAACCACTGATTGATTTTAAAAGAGGCTTGAAGACTTTTTTATTTAAGCAAGCCTATTCTGCCTCCACATGATTTTTATGATGTTGATTTTGATTTTTGATTTTATTTGCACTGTGTAGCACTTTGAGATTTTTTTTAATGAAAAGTGCAGTACAAATTGGATTGATTATTATTATTATTAAAATAAGTCTGGATTTTATATCCTCAATGAAAAACATTTCTGCTGGTTGAAATTATTGAAAACCTCTCATATAAACATAAATAAATGAATCAAATAGCAAATCAGAGCTGGCTGCAGCCCATGCCACCAGCAAAAAAGGAAATTATCTTAGCAACAAATGTTATATTTAATTCACTCTCCAAGCTAAGCTTTTTATGAAACTCAACATGTCAAACAGCTAAAATCACACCTCATGTTTCTCACTCTGCTTTGCATCCCAGCCATACTGTTTTGTATTGCAGTCTCTCCTTATACAATATACTTATTGAGAGCACACTAAACTCTGCACTAAGTTTCTGTTAAGTTTTCAGTTGACTTAAAGTGTACCTACTTCTTAAACCAGGAATTTAATCAGTCACTACAGTGAGTGTGCGGTGCTCCTATGTGACGTCCAGAAGGGGCTTTTTATTTGCTATTGCAACAGGTTTTAGGTTTTTTGTTGACATTACAAACATACCTACAATAGTAGTCACAATCTATTGTTTACCTTTCATTTTTGCAGAAATACCAAGAGTTTTGGTCCAAGTTTTAAACTTTAAAGCAATTGAAAATGAATATGAGTCTTAAAATTAATCAAAAACCTTTTAGTTCAGGTTTCTAAATGCCGATATTGCAGAAAGCTACTAATTGTAAGATCATATTAAGCTCTTACTTAGTTAAATATTCGATCTCCCTGCTTAAACAGCACGATATTGTTTAAACACAAATAAGCAATGAAGATGGAAAAAATATTTCCCAGAAATCGTTTTGATTTGGGGTCAGATAGGATCAACCAAACAATTTTCTTTTTATTAATGAACTAGATGGAAGATTTACAATCCTAACAGATGAGCACATTGTATACGGAGCAGATTGTATCAGGAAGAGAAAATAGCCTCATTTCAGAAATAAACTGCAGTGTTTGTCAATATTAACGGATTTAAAGACTATGAAGTACCTTATAAAAATGCTAATTGTTTAACCCTTTATAGGGCAAGTTACTGATTTTGATAACTTGCATACTCCTTACAAATGGAGTCCCCCCACCGTCCCTCAGTGAGTTCTAGAAGCAAAATATCTAGATCAGGTATTCAGCAAAGATACTGCTACATGGCTGTACATCTAATTTTTGCATTGGACCAATTAGATGAGCCCTTGAATGATATATTACCTACTGTAAATTAAGTTAAAAAACAAAAAGCTAAGGCAAGAAAAAAAGGTAAAAAGCTAATTGAAAAGCTAAAAAGTAAAGTAAAAAAAGTTAATAAGCCTAGTTAACAATAATATTTAGGTTTATAAACTAAAATATGTAAGTGCCAGTATAAGCATAAATGCCTCTAAGGCTATGTTGGACCAAAAAATGTGTTTCTTTTACTCAGAGTGTTTTTCATGAATTTCATATTTCAATCTTATAGAAGCACTTTTGTCATTTTTCTTAATATATTCGGGCAAGTTGCCGTTTTTTGTTGTTACATTGACATTAATTTTTGCCATCAAAATATCCCTCTTTTTTGAATGTTACAAAGCTAATAAGGTCTTATTTCAATAACATGATCGGCTTGAAATTTGGATTTTCAGAGTATTTCAGAGTGCCCTGTAAAGGGTTAAAGTCCTGTTCAGTAAATGAAGCAAACAAATAAATATATCCCAAAAAAATTAAAACAAGAACACAATAGTTACACAAAAAATACCTAACATTTAATAGAAATTACAAGTTAGAAGACAGAATAAATATTTCAAACCCACACTAAAATGAAAGCTAATTAATCAAATTATTGTTTTGTTTTGTATGGTTTTTTTTAAGCAAAAAGCACAGGGAATGTATTTTTCTTTCAGGTCAGAATGTTTTGTTTTATATAGATCTTTCATATCTACGAAACAAGGCGTGTTAATGTAACTAACAAAACTGAAGAAAGATAAGACACACAGTAGGAGTGCAGTAAAAGACAAGCATAGAGGCCCAAATCAGTGTTTGGCATATTAAAAAGACTTTATCTGTGGCCCATTTCACTATTTTACCAGGTATTTCACAGTAACAATCAAACACAGAAACAGAAGTGGCTATCATATGTCCATCACATGTTAGCCTACATGGCATCATAAGATGAGCAGAGAATAAACTCTGGCAAAAGTCACGTAAACCTCATTATATTGTATTTACTGTGGCTGTTGTTAAGCTTAACTAAGAGTGTCAGCTTTGAAAATAACATTTAAACGTAGCATGCTAGTTGGCTAGCAGGCAAAGCTAACTAGCGAAGTTTGAAGAACTTTTTTCCAACCTTCAAACTCGTGAGGAAACAAAAACTACTTTTAGTTTTACATCTGTAACTGCGCCATTATTCTACCATCATATTTAAACGTGTGACAACAGTTCCCAGCAGGTTTAATAGTTGTGGTTAGGCTTCTGAAGTTGACTGTCAGTACTCACCAGGAAGTGGGAATCTGTTGCTAAGCTATTCCTCCTTCACGTTAACAGTTTCCTCCGATGGTTCTTATGGCGCTCCTCTTTGCGGTGTTTTTCCCTCTTTCTGTCCAAGGTCGTAATGAACCAGTCAGCTCGGTTGGCCTTTGTTTTAGAGTGGCACTTTGCCTGTGGAACACAAAGTTTTTCTTCCCCCCACAGAGCGCCTGAGCCGAGGAGTCAGTTGAGACGTGTTTTCAGCCAGAAGGCCCCCCTCATCAGCTCACCGCTGCTCCGTCAGCCGCTAATGTAAACAACGCGGCATTCCCGCAGGGCAGCTGTCAAATACCGCGAGATTCAACAGGGCGACTCCAACTAATGTCACTTCTGTTCCAGCTCAATGTTATTATTTAGATCCTAAATACTAGAAACTAAAAGCAATCTCAAAGTTTTGTTTGATTGATTTTTTTGAAGAAGAAAAAATCTAAATATGAACAGTAAAAAATAAATAAATAAATAAAATTATATACATATATATTTACTGTTTTATTGCAAAAAAAGAACATACATGAACAATATAGAACATAAATAATTACAAACACATACAACAACAAATGGCTTTACTAAACAGAAATTATTTAAAATGACTAAATCAAATCTAATCTATGCTTGAGGGTTATAATTCTTTAAGGGCAGATATAATTTGCATGGCTTTAGCATTTGAACTCAGTTTTAAGGATTCTATGTACTAGATATTAATAGAAGGTAATAAAATCTGGAAATTTGGTTTTTGTTGTAAATATTTGGAGGTGTAAATATGGTGTTTACCATAATTAATAAAAAAGAATATAACATATAAATATTCTGTTTTAACAAGTTCACATTTCTCCATCCCAAACAAAACATCCTTATCTGTTAAAGTAATGTTAAGATTTTTGGGATGAAAAAGTAATTGACATATCTCTCCTGAGAGCTGTAAAAATATTACATATAATAAAACTGTGAGTGACGCAATTTCATCACCCAAACAGCACCCATTCATAATTGGAAAGAAAAGTTAAAAAATAAGGTTAGATAATATTTACTTTGAGGTAGGCTACTCAACAAAAACTCAGCAGAAATGAAAAAATGAAAAAAATAGATGAAACTAAAATGCAAACAAATCAAAACAAAAAAAAACACAATACATTACTCTTAAAAAGTATTCATAATTATCAAACAAACCATTACAAACCCAAATCTGATGGGTGTTGCATTCATATAAAGTCGATCCCCTCACTAAAGACCTTCATTTTCATTCATTTCAAAATATTTCTATAACAATGAGAGATTTTTTTTGTTGTCATTTTATGTTTTTAAATCAGAACTCTGGTTGGATTAAGAACATCTTCACGCATCAAATTTTGAGTCTTGCAAACCAATGAGATTTAAATCTGTTCTTTCTTTGGTCCTTTCTAACACATGAATATGCTTTGATGTGAGTCATGTTATCATGTAGCTCTGCTTGCATGTTTAGAGTGACTCTCCAGCTGGATATTGAACCTCTGCCCAAGGTCTAAATCTATCTAAATCTAAAATCAGTTTTTTTTTTTCTAGGATGATTCTGTATTGAATGATCTGGTTGAATTGTCTCTGTAAAGTGCCTTGAGATGACATGTGTTGTGAATTGGCACTATATGAATAAACTGAACTGAATTTAATTGATTTAGCACTATACACTCTTACAATTATACGACCAGCTTCTTTATTCATGTTGAGGAAATGCATCCCAACAGATTTATCTGTGGACAAACCTAAATCATGTAGCTGATATTACTGAATGGCAAATTTAACACAATTTCCTCACATTAATATATGTATGGCTATTGGTTTGTCAGGATTTGTTAATGTGGCAAAATATATAATTCTTCTAATGTAATCTTAATTCAAGGTTAAATTAAGAAGTGATGAAGATAAGGGGCAGCTAGAATATTCGCCTGAAGTGAGTCTAATGAGACTTATGCAGTATACTTTTCTTTTTAAAATGTCTGCTCACTGAGAAAAAAAAAATTACCAAAATCAAATTCCTTGTTTCTCTGGAGAAACTTGGCTAATGAATCTGGTCTAAAAAAATTGGGATTCTAAACCAAAAAAATAGTTCCAGCTCCCATCAAATGTATCTTCTTTAAATTGTCAAAATCAAACCAACAGTATGATGAATATGAAATAAATCCATCAAAAGGCCTTAATGGTTAATCAAATACAAACTTAGAATCAAGCTATAGAGGCAATAAGAAATAACTTGTTCCTTAAAGTTTTCTATAATTTTATTGTAAAAATAAAAATCCAGTGAGACGTCATTTTGCAATGTAATGTTATTACATACATTATGCTTATGATACTTGAAACATTTCATTATTTGGTATTAATATTTTTGCAGATTAGTTTGGGCAGCAAGTGCAGCTGTTTCTAAAAGGCTTCCTTTGCTGTGATAAAAGCTTAGATGCTTCTTTCAGAATGACAATCTAAACAGTGAAAACACCTCTCTCTTTTCCTCACTCCCCGTTGTTAATAATCAACAAGTTATGCATGTTTGTGCTTTTTATCTCCCCCACTTCAGTAGCCGTTTTTGTTAACCTTACTGCAAATATGGAAAAGAGAGAAATGCCTGGAGTGTGGTACATCTCCCCCCCTTTCTTTTTTTTTTTCCAACAACAGTTGAAGATTAAAAGAAACGTCTCACAGAAATCTGTCAATTCTGTATGTGAATAATGCTGTGTGGAATTTTATGGCATGAGTTATATTGAGTTTCCTCTACGCCCACATTTTCTTTCGATAAGATCAATGCAGCTCGGTGACAGATAGGGACGGTCTTTTGTATCTTCAAATTTCAGGTTTCTAAGGGAATAATTAGATGGATGGATGAAAAGTAATGCATCAGCCTTGCACGCGGGAACTGCACCCAGAAATCCTCAGCTTCAGCACACGTGCCTCCACGCCTGTTTGGTGAAAAACTGTTTAATAATGGTGTTGAATTTCCATTGTGCTAAAAGTGGCTCCCTGCACTGATCTGCTGCTTTGAGCCAATGGAAAAGTTTTTTGTGTTCTTTCTGCAGATATTCTTTATTTAACAGAAAAGGGTTTGTGTTTGATTTGGGTATAATTCTTAACATGAAAAGTATCATCATCTGCTTTACTACATTCCTTTTAAGACTTTCTGGTGTCGCTTGGAGGTAACCAGGTTAGAACAGGTTCTTCCTTCAGGGGAAATAGCTGTGGTTTAATCGTCGGGTTTATCCAGTCACTGCAGACCTTTTACTGTAAAATATGCCGTTTAACTTTGATGTTTTCCACCTCTCTCATTCATACTTGGGCCTTTTTGGTTACAATGGAACAAGATAACAATTAAATCAAATTTCCATGACTACAAACACTTTTCAAAATATCTCTTAGGTAGATTTCTCTCATAGGATGAATAACAGTATCCTTCAGATTTTTAGAAAGTGCTTTTAATTGCCATAGCATTTTTCAACATGGAGGAAAATAGAAAAATCCAACCAACCTGGTTCCAAAACCAGTAATCCCTGCAAGAACAGTCTGGGGGATTTTTTTTCTATTTTTTTACATTTACACTTTTTTGTTACCAAATGGATCAAAGTCTCAGTAAAACTTTTTTTTTTTTTTTTTTTTGGTAGAATAAATATAAATCCTTTCCAGAGGTTATTTTCTTTTACCTACTTTTCAAAACAATAACAACAGGAGAATTCAAGCTCAAAATGCATATTTGTTCTCGTAACACAGGAAATGGCTGCAACTTAGTCAGGATCGAATGAAACTATATATTCTTTAAGTTAAGAATAAAAGAATCTGCAAAAAAAAAAAAAAAAGCTAGACAAGAAATCAAGGACTCTCACCATGCAAAGTTAGCAGGATTGTGAACTAGATTAGAAACAGCTCTTAGAGTTCACTGATTGAGAGTTACAAAAGAAAACGGTGTTATCTAGGATTCACTAATTATCCAAAGGCAAACTTGTCATTTGGGAAGCTGGAAAAGGCTTTTCTTTCCAAGCCTCATAAACTTAATTATACGGAGTTTGCTAAACTCCACCAGGACCTTTACTGCAATCTTGTCCTCCGTATCCACCCTGTTTCTAGGGGGGATGTTTGTGTTCCTGTGAAGAAGGGGGAAGGTTAGGGGAGAAATCCATGACAAATGTGACCTTATGAAGGAAACAAAAGGAGTTGGAACTGTTTGTCATAACCCATTTTAATTTGATGCTTCCTGAAATCATGGTATTAATACTAATCTTTGATTAAGCATCTCTACTTTAAAGACTGTCGTTGTTAAGCTCCAATCGAGGAAATGTATCTTTAGTTGCCTTTTGTTTCATAATTCAAAACCAATTTCTTACCTTCATTTGAAAATTAAGTTGTTTAAAAGCTTTTTCTTAATCAACCAAACTCAATTTAAACTATTGGCAGCCTTCTAAAAGGAAAACAGTCGTTTAGTCTTACATCTAAGTATGGCACAGAAACAGTTTGAATATTTAAAATAGCCTCGAATATTAATTAGTAGATCAAAAAATCTCAACATTGTTTTGTAGATGTTGACCATAACATTCTGCTTAATAAATTCAGATAGATTGGAATGGTGAATTTTCCTGAAGTGGTTTAACGCAACAGTATTATCACATATATTCAGTTAGAAATTTTTGATACAAGCAATGATGCATATTTGACCATGCTTGGCATTTTTTTTCGTTAAAAAAACAAAACAAAATGTGTTACATGTTTGAAAATTGGTTCATCTTGATTAAACTTATTAGAGATTTGTTATGGGTGCAACTTTTGTCGTATTTTCTGTCTTTGTTGTTTATACTATCATAGTTTTTCCTTTTTACTTTGTTTATTGAGTTCTTATATATTTGTTCATTCTCATACTTGGTTGCTTTTCGGTATTTCTGTAACACTTCCTAATTTATTATTTCCATCGCTGTGCATGGATCCCTCCCAATGTTTCCAGTTCATTGTCATTTTATTACATTTTTTTAAATATTTCACCTAATATTGAATAGAGAGAATTCATATTAGAACTACAAACAATAATAAAACAATAAACAATAAATAAAAGAAAGAAAAAAGTAAAACTAACATTTCTGCCCCCATTTACATATCAGGAATGTTATCTTCTGTATTAAATAATACTATAGCCATATTTCAAAGTCTCATACAAAATATAAAAAACAAAAAAATACACAATAAAACAACAGCTTATTTAATACTATGTTGTTTTACTATACAGATTTTCACATTTCTTCTAAAAGCAGCAGTTTTAGAAAT